TACATACATACATACAGACATATATATATATATATATATATATATACATTTACACACACACACGCACATATATATATATATATATATGAACAAGCGATAATCAATCAAACAGCAGAGGGTTTTATGAGAGCAGCTGAACCGACATGCCACGTGGTCGCAGAAGTATGACTATGCTATCAGATGAGAGGTACCACTCGACCATTTCTTCAAAAAATGGTGCTGGATCGTTTGCAATACGGGACTCGTATGTCCCGTTTTCAGAATGTGCATTTAGCGTTAGAGCTTCCCGCGTGTGATGAGGAACAGGATGCCGGTGTATAGTCTAAAACCCTAAACTCTATAAACACTAAAACCCTAAAGTATAGCCGGCAAAGTACGGAGTATAATGGAGGTCATTCCACAAACGGCGACCAACGGACCACTTAGAAGGGCCAATCAAAAGGCATCACTTCACGCGCAGATACGGACAACCAACCCGTTGCCGAACACTTGACTGTGCTACCAGCTATGGGCCAAAACACTAAAACCCTACTCAACTGCTACATTGCAAGATATAGCTCAACAGCAAACCCCCACCGCAGAACGGTAAAGTGTGTCTGAGTCAGTTAAGGGATTGGGGTTAAGGTTCCTGAAGGATGCATTCGCGGCTGAGTATATGGGCAGTGACTACAACAGCACAACTGGCGTGTACGGGTGCAGTTGCCTCTGTTGGTGATGCGCTGAGTTGACGGTGAACAGACAACGGACCCACAGCGAGCCTAGGAGCAACCTAATCCACAGGGAATGCTACCACCAGGCTAAACGCAGTAAAGCAGGACACACACACCATTGCGCATATGCGTCCTGAAGGGACTGTCTTGTGGCTCACCCTCCACTGCAGTGTATTTTGACAAAAATAAATTACTACAGGCTGGCTGGTCTCATGGTATAGCCTTGAGAGGAGGGTACTATTGTAAACCGTGAACCATGTGGTTATTAAATAGGGAAAGTGCTAGTACAACGTCAATCGTCAGCACGGTTAGGTGTGTTGTAAGAGGAGCCAGTGTCAAATTTAGTGAAGGCGATGTTGGGTTGTAAATTCGTAGTCGGGCCTAGCTACAGTGTGTTTAGTTACTACATGCTCCACAAAACCTCGATTGGATAGTGCAAATATCGTACATCCCTATACAATTCAACACTATAACATTATATATATATATATATATATATATATGCATATATATGTATATACATACATATATATATATATATATATATATATATATATATATATATACATATATATATATATATTTGTAAATTTGTCTATAGATGTATATATAAATATATACATAAATCTGTATATATATATACATATTATTTATATATTTATATATATACATGTATTTAATATG